CCCCAAAACCCCAAAACCCCAAAACCCCAAAACCCCAAAACCCCGAGATAAGATTTTAGCATTGGATATTAGATGGTAAATAATTTAATATTTGCAGGTGAAATGGCACTCCACTGTGGTACCCACATTTTCTTCCGAGAATAGGTTTATAGTACCTCCTAATTTTTCGATTATCTTCTTACAAATTGTTAGACCAAGTCCGCATCCAGTTTTATTTCTATTATGATTTGAGCTGAGCTTCCCAAAAAGTTTGAACAGGGAGCGTTGATCTGCCTGAGAGATTCCAATACCTGTGTCAATAACTTTTAGGTTAATGCTCATTGTTTTAGAGAAATCAGATTCTTCTTCATCTAAACTATTAAACCTTGACCTATGAGCATGGAAAAGGTATTTAGTTCAATCGTTTCGATTCATTTGTAAGGCAGAATTTTCAGAGAATCACTCTAAATATCATTAATTAAGTTTTACCCATACTCTCATTTTCGAAATCTTCTAAGCTATTATCTAAGAATTGTCTCTCTTCATAAGACTTTGATTCTTCGAATACCTTGGATTCTTCAAGATCAGATTTCTCGCTAATGTCAATTGTTATGAAGCCCCTATCTGTGAATTTCAGGGAGTTTGAGACCAAGTTCATTAAAACTTGCTTGAGTCTTTGCTTATCAGAGAATATTGGTAGCTTTTTCAATTTATCTTGGATGTTCATCTTGAGCTCTAGACCTTTACCATTAGCTTGAAGTATAAACACTTCTTTGATTTCTTTGATGCACTCAGTCATTGTGAAAACTTCCTCGTTGATTTGAAAGACTCCTGACTCAATTTTTGCATGGTCAAGAATATCCTCTACTAACATTCCTAAAATTGTTCAAGAAGATGAAGCTATATGCAGAAAGCGATTATTCTTTCCATATTCTTCTGCTCTCATTAGCTCTAGTGAAGCCATAATTGAATTGAGAGGTGTTCTCAATTCATGAGAGACATTAGAAAGCATTTGGCGTTGGTAATGATTTTGGGCCTTTGCCTCTTCTAGCTGGCTAATTTGCGTAGTATCAATAAACATGTGAATACAAGAAGGATCTCATCCTGAAGCACTTGCAAATTCTACAATAGTAGTCTTTATTATAAACTCTCTTCTCTGATCTTGCAGCTCTTGAAGTTCTTGAGATTTATATTTGACTGAGATTTTTGATTCTTTGTTACAGTAGCATCCATCCAGTAATGATTTCCTCTCTTTATTTAGAAACTCAGAAAGTGACATTTCAACATTTAGCAGTTCTCCAAACCTATGCATTCTTGGCTGATCATTATAGTCTTGAGAATCACTTAACATACCTAGTTTTCTTTGACCAAAATCAGTATCTTTTCATGTTACAGTGAAGTTTCTCAACAATTTGTTGAGCAATCTACTAGAATCTTCATTATCACTTTCTTGCATATCTGGATATCGAGAAGAAATATTTTTGACAATGTTGTCAAGCTCTCTGGTAATAAGTTCTTGTGATGTTTTGAGGATTTCCTTCTCATCTTCATCTTTGTAAAATTTCTTGATATCCAGTATATGCTTAATTTTAGAGTTTACATATTTATACTGGTTATCTTTACTTGCAATAAGCACTCCTTCTGGGAGTCAATTGATGACCTTCTTTTGGCTTTTCAATGTGTTTACATTATTGAAACTGGCAATGAATTCTTCCTTTAGTATACTTGAATAGCAATAGGAGCCAAATACAAAGAAGACTAAGGAAGACAGAGATCCAGGATAATACAAATCACTTAGATCTTCGAATTTATTCCAAAGTCTGATGAATCCATACAAATGTAGTAATCATTGGTTGATGCACAGAGTTTTCCAGTTCGTGGTTACACATGTACTGAACGAAAACGCTGCTGATATCTGAAGCAGATATCCCTCATGTAATCTAAAGTTTTAAATAATAATTACCTGTAACGTTCAAATTTAAGGTTAACTTCAGTCATGTGGAAATACATAAGTGATGAAATGAAGATTCCTCAATAGTTAGCCATCCAATCTTGCTTTTCGATTCCTTTTTCAAGATAATACAAAATCAAAATTTCAATGGGAATCAGGATGGCTCTGAACCACAATGGTTCACTTTTAGAAACCACTATGTACAGAAGTGTTAGAAGAAGCATATATCTGAGGACTTTTAGAAGGATCCTCCAGTTATTTCCGACTGTGGGCTAGTTTCTTTTTGTAATACTCTCTCTCGAGTATAGGATCGTTCGGAAATTCATCAATCCAAAGATTGATCCCTTTTGAAGTCAGATGCCAATTTTCATAGCAGATGGTATTAAATAGGGAGAGCGCCTATAAATATTAACTTTATTAAAATGTAGTTTGAATTTTTATGAATAATAGTAGGAATATATTATTGAAAAATAAACCACTTTTTCAAAGAAAATAAGTCAGAATATTCAGAGTATCTAGACTAGATAAACGAAGTTCCCAACTTGTATAATAATGCGATAATTTAGTTGGAGCATTTATATTTGACACAGTTATATTATTTAGATACTCTAAGACATTGACCAATAAACTTATTTTAGCAGGGAATTTTTAAATGCAAATTTAAATAAACAAAGATAATCCTGAAAAGGTTTGAGGAGGTCTCTTCTTTATTCAAGATAAAATTGCTATATTCTAGAAATCTTTGTGAATTTCTTATTAAAAAGGCCATCCTTATATTATAATACCGGTAACAATTTAACATAATTCATATTGAATTAAGTGCTAGAAGAAATCAAAGAATTTTTAATTAAAACTCAATCCTTTAATATCAAATCAATACTAATCTTCTCACCCTCGTATACTCCACTAATCCTCCAAACCCCAAATTCCTAAAACTCTCTCCCAATCCCCATATAAAACCCTCAAATTCCTATTCCCAAAATTCCAACCCCAAAACCCCAAAACTTCGCTTAAACCCCCTAAATCCCCTATTCCCCCCTATTCCCCTCAAATCCCTCCACCCCATCACCCACCCTAATTCTACCCCCGACTCATGCCCTTCTACCTCCTAATCCTCAGCACAAGCGCCTATAACTTTGCGCGTACAACTAAAGTAATAAGTTAATGATAGGTGGTGGATTGATGCATGGAGGTTGAGGGGTTGTTATGGTGGAGGTATAGTTAAGTAGGAGTCTTTGAGAGTTTAATTAGTTTGTTTGTATGGCTTACTTACCATTTTATGGAGAGTAAATATTATTATATAAGTATCAAGAGATTAAGTTCGAAGGGGTTTTGGGGTTTTGGGGTTTTGGGGTTTTGGGG